TATCAGAAAGTTATTTATACCCTCACCACACACCTGTATTCCTCCAAATTTCTTGCAGTCAGGCAAAAAGTTGGGGCAAAAGCAATTAAATCAGTAAGTATGTAATATACTACAGTCTTTTAACACAGCTCCTGTATCTTCTATATACTCAGGAGGGAGGTGATGGTGGTACTGTGGATAATACTTGACATACCAATTCTATGTTTGAAGGAAATAGTATTCCCATTTTCTGCAGTTATGGAATGCTGCTATAAACTTAGAGGCATGAAGAAGATTAAATGGCATATCCTTCATTCCTCCAGAATGGAGTAAGCACTTGCAGGCAATTGCTGAGAATCCTCTACTAGATCTTTCCTGACGAAGAATGTAAAATAGAAGCCACATTTGGGCCAGGCTGAAGGACTTCGAGCTAAGTGTGGTATGTGGGTATTTATCACTGAGATCCATGAGATAAACTGAGTAGATTCCACCTGAGTCTGTGAAAGGATCATTGCCCGATATGGAAGCACTTTCCCTCAGACAAGAAGCAGAAAATGAATGGGGAAAGGGTTTCACGGTACACAGAGTTAAACCTCATGTCTTAGATGAATTCCTGCTTAGATACTTGCATTCAGTGCATGTAAACTCCTGCTGGGGGGTCAACTGGTGAAATTATTTTTATTGCTTTTTTGTTTTGTGAGAGTGCATTAGTGACCTCAGTCAGAGAATTGGGCCATACTGGGCCAGGCCTTATAAGACAGGAAACAGAAAAACAAACCCATTGTCCCCCAAAACCTACAATCTAAATACAGGATGAAAGACAACAAGTTAGGGAACACAAAGTACCAGGTCTGCCTGCATAAGTACCAGCATACGTATGACCAGGTTGATCATACATATAACAAATAGCAGGCACAGCTGACTGTTGAGTGTCTTGTAGGCACCACCACATCATTTTTTTCCTCCTAAAAACCTGTAGGACGGTGTAATACAGCCATGCCAGCTAAGAATATTTGTCATATTCCATCCTGAGCTGGTTGAAGTCCAATGGTGGACTGGGGATATGATAGCAGCTTTTCTAACTTCAGGTTCCAGATGGTGATAGTTCATTTTGACTGTTTGCCCATTAGAAAGTTGGTCACCTTTAAGTTGTGCTAAACATGTCTTTGTGGCATCAGAATGTAGGATACTTATGGTAAGCCCTAAATCAGATTCTTGTTGCTACCACAGTCCCTTTTCCCACGGGCACTGAAGCTTCCTCCTTTTAAATACTGTTTTTTGGGGAAGGAAAATAGATTTGATTTGTTCAGTTCAAATGTGAAAGCCTGAATTTACAAATTACACTGAGAATAACCTACCTAATTTTCAACATATTCCAAACTGCTACATCTCAATGTGTACCCAAAATTTTACGTAATCTTTGATCTTTAATTACTGTAGCTCAAAAGATGAATGCACTTCACTTATTTTTCCTTTTAGCATAGATAAATGTGTGAGCCATAATTCCTGTTCAATGATTTTATTATGCTCACTTAAGCATGGGACCCCTTCAGGCAAATATGTGAAAGGCCAGAGTGTTTTCTCCCAGGTGCAGTGTCCATACTTGGATTGAATGCTGACATACTTGAATGCTTCTTGGCATGGAAGACAAAGCCTTTTGGTAACTCACATGCTGGAAGAAGTTCAGCAACAGCAACTGAAAAAGGATTAATTAAAAAATAATCTCTTTATCCCTTTGACCCTGGGTCTATGGGTCTATCCTCTGAGACTATCAGTCAAGGTGCCAGGTGGTGCTGATTTTAGTCACAATTTTGCAACACTGAGATTAAAGAACTCATTTCACAGCCACCAGATTATAGTCATTTTTGGTCACAGCCTGCTTGGAACTTATAAGAACTTGTGGGTATCTGTGGCAGAGAAGAAACACTCTATCCCATTCTCATTTTCCTCATCCATGAAGTATCCCCATGTCCTGGACTGGGTAGGGGGAAGAAGTTGCTGATATAAAGCCAAGATCCAAAATATGCAACTTTGAAAATCTAAGTCCTTATGTTGGTGCCCCTTGACATATTAGTATGGTGTCTTTATAGTTTCTGAATGCCTAGCACCCCACCCCAAATACAAGTGTGACCTGATATAGAATGAGTAATCACCATACCATGAGATCCAACAGAAAAGCCATGACCAGATGCAAAATAGCAGATGATGATTGTATATATTGCAATAACATGCAGAGATCTCCAATCAGAGGTAGGGTCCCGTGGTGCTAGGAGCTCCAAAAACATAGGAAGGGTATGGACAAATGTACATTTGGAGCCATTTCAAAAAGGGGAGAGACCTCTTGCTCCAAACCGTATGGCAGCTGCTCCCTTCTAACTGTTAGATGTGCACAAGCCAGAAACAATGCAAATGTAGTGAAACAACTCAAACAGTGCTCCATCCAGGGTTAAAGTTGGACAAATTCAACTCTAGCAAAAATTCGGAACTATATCAGACTATGTAAAAAGGGGGAAAATGGGAAAAAAATATCATCAACAAAAACTAATTGGCTTGATTAAAAGGACATACACAGTGGTGACAACAGCAGCCTTCTCATTCTTTTATCTAAGAATCAAATCAAACCCAAAGATAAATTAGACCAGCACGGGACAGGGAACTCACCAGCTTGGGTGGCTGTGCATTGACATAGTCCTTAATATCACATGCTACTTAATGACATTGTATCAACCCGTTTCTGATCACTTATACAGTTTGTGTGTAATTTCTGCCCCTAGCTGTGAAGTATGCCTAGAGGTGCAAACCTTCTCTAATGGAGCCTGGAGAGCAATGCACTCTCTGCGATTAGAGTGCCCATGTTTTCAGGAGAAACCTTCACTTCCTTTTTTGGAGCTCTGGGTCTGTCTTTTGATTCTAACCGGACAGAGCATTTTATCAGAGCTACTGCAGGATTATCAATCTGATAGCTTCCTGAATTTTTAAGGGGCCAGTTGTGTTGCAGACCTTTTGCAAAGAGTAGGGGTTGTGTCTTTTTCATAACTCAGTTAAAAGATGGGGCACTAACAGAAGCGATATCCGCCTCCTTTTTAATTAGAAGACATTCCCGGATGCTTTTGGTGAGCCATGGGGGCTTTTGTGCCTTCCTGCTCCCTTTGATCCATGTTGGGATTATCTCCCTTCGGGCTTGGAGGATCGTCTCCTTAAGGAGCAACCACTCCTCTTGGACACCTGGCTTCCCTCCCCTCCCGGACCCGAGTGCTTCCCTGACTAGTCTCCTTACCTCATTGAAGTCTGCCCTCCTGAAATCTAGGATTCCCCGAGCACTACCAGGAGTGACTAGAAATAACGGTCACAAGCTGGCAGAGGATAGATTCAAACTAGACATCAGGAGGTGCTACTTCACGGTCAGGGTGGCTAGGATCTGGAACCAACTTCCAAGCAAAGTAGTGCTAGCTCCTACCCTGGGGGTCTTTAAGAGGAGGGTAGATGAACACCTTGCTGGGGTCATTTGACCCCAGTACTCTTTCCTGCCACAGCAGGGGGGTGGACTTGATGATCTGCTAAGGTCACTTCTGACCCTACCAACTATGAAACCCTTCTGTAATTGAACATAATATGGGGAAGACAGAGACAAGGAAATGCACAGAAAGATCCTATGACCCCTTCCAAACAAATGTGTGTATGTGCATGTGTGTACACACATGCATGCATGGGCCATGAGTATGGGGCTGTGAAAAAGAACGGCACATTTTGCTCCCTAACCAGCTGCTCTGGAGTGCCAAAAGAGGTCTGAAGCATCCATTTGGTTTCCCCTGCATCCATATATAATTGTTTTCAATGGCTGGATTCCCATTATTACTATGCACTATTACAGTATGTCACTTTTTCTCTCTTGAACTCTGCATTTTAATACCCCCACTACCCAGGTCAGAGATTCAAACAAAGGCCCAGGCACCCTGTCTAATTCCTTTCACCCCACTCCATTTATGCGATTTCTCCTTTATGTAGCTATTACATTATTTTTACGATTAATACCTGTGGATCCATGTAATTATCTGTGCATGGTTATCATGGTGTATACAGGGAGAACTTGACATACAGTATCTTTTCTGCATAAAAACATGAAGCTAAGTTTAATGGGGCAACAGACTTGCAGTAATTCATTCTTGTTTTTAAAGGGAACTATCAGAAGGCATGTCTTCTTACTTACCTATAAAGCTCCAAGCCTCTTGCGAGTGATCAAGAGCCAATGAAAAATAGATAAAATAGCCTTTTTCAGACCAGTGCTAGTGACCATCTAATTTGGGGATAGACTTGCTGCATCACAGACCAGAAAGTCTGCATCAAATACAGGCCAGTGTGAATCCCAGTCATCCTTCTGCTCCTGGGCCTTGTCCTATCAGACTTAACTGACAGACTGTATTTTTGCCTGAGCTATACAAAAGCACCACTCTTTTACCAGACAGCCTGAGGGTGTTTTCAGCATCCTAAAGCCACCTGAGTTTACCTGTACCCCGATATGGTTGAAAAACACTGTCCTTATTACATGAGTGATATAAGAACCTAAATTCACTTTTCATCCCAGATTAATATCAGATGACTGGCAGTATAATACCAAGTGCCTACCCAACAACCTTTGAGAAGGCAGAACGCATGAACTTTGCCTCAAAGGAACACATAGCACAATTTATCCAATCCTGTGATTTCAAATACAAGTCTCATCCTAAATATCTCTCCTAAACATGTTAAACAAACTGTAAAGTGAGTCTGCTAAGCAGATAATATATAGGCTTGTAATTATTGACCTCTCTGTACCTCTGTACTGGAGGGGATTGCCTGTATGAGACTGCAGAATGCTTCAGTGTGATCTAGAGATATGGAAAACAACATGATTAAGGAGTGCAAAACCTCTCCTCAACCTCTCTATGCACTGAGTCTTCTTTATTTGTATGCATATTATTTTAAAAAATTTGATTTGACATGCTTCCTGTACAATAGCCCCATAAATGTATTACAACACTCACCTACTATTAACATGGGCAGAGTGTATTAGCCAATGCAGCATTCAGCTGACGCACTGTTATTGTAGTCCACATTTCAGCAGCTGACAACCCTAAGGCAAACCAAGCGACATAACAATCCATTATCTAGTCATGGAAATGTCTGAAACCACAAGTAAATCCTGTCTCTCTCTCCCACCACTTTTCCTACTCTTCCTCCCTCCACACCCAAACTTGACAAGCTTCACAGACGAGTTCAGCCACATATCTACTGGCTCATAACCCTGGCTGCCATTTTTAACTAGAGCAAATTGCAGTACAATGAATCTGTTAAACAGGCCCAGGACAACATTCCACAACAATCTAGCTGGAGCCTAGACTGAAGGCACGTTAGGATTGGGCATGTGATGTAAATTTAATGCTTTTGCCATCTACTCTCAGAGACCCAAAATTTGAGCCTTAGACCTTGACTTAAGCTCTAGGCAAAAAACTGCCTTTGTAGTCTCATCTTAGCACCTCTTTTTCCTCCCACCAGTGTCATGGGTTAGCCTGATTGTAAGTCTCTGCTCCAAGGAAGGTCAGGACTAAAATGTGAGACATGTTGAAGACCAGGAATGAAACAGGAGTGTACAAAACCATAATCACCTCTGCTTGGTACAGGTTAATTCAAGTAGGGTTATGTCCACTATTGTGGAGAGCGGCACTCCAACACAAGTATTTTCTTACTTTGTTTATATGAGCCCAGCACTATGGGGTGTCGCTTCCACCTGAAGCCTTTTTAAAGGAGGGGCACCAAGGCAGAGTAGTTAAGTGTAAAGGTGTGAGTTTAAGGTTCTCTGTAGAGTCTAGACCAGGGGTGCTCAGCCTGCAGGTCTCTCCATGGATCCACAGTCCTGCATGGGGCCCAATCCTGGCACACTGGGCTGGGCAGGGGTGGTGCAGGGCCCCAAAACCAGAACCTGGCACTTGAGGTTGGTATACGCTCTATCTGGTCCACAGACTAGTCCTGTGGTATTCAACTGACCCACAGGGCCAAAACCTTAAGCACCACGGGTCTCAACTTCTCCTGAAGACTGCCCCTGCTTGAGACTGTTGTAAATAGATGCCTGCTCATTCAGGCTGGGGAGGATAAAGGTTACATATAGGGTTCCCTTGCGTGCCCTTCTCAACCAGGCTGCCACAGCACCCTGGGATGCCTCGAGATCCTTTCAACTACCATACTGCAACTACGATACTGCTGGGCTGCTAGGTCTGGACAGACCCTTCACCTTGATTTTATTTTTTTGTCCTACTAATAAAATGAGCATCACTTAAATCCTCTTTTATGGATTTGTACAAGTCACCATGGTTCCATTATGTAAATACTGTGAGAAATCATCTGCTGCTAGTATGATTTTGCCCCCAGTTCTCATAAAATACCAAATTCATTCCTGGATATTTGTGATTTCAAAACAGGAGAACCCTGAAGACTTTTCTTAATGGAACCCTTTTACTATTGCAGCCTTGACATATCCTACCATATTATTGCTGGGGACATGTCCTAAACTAATAAACAAACAACTTAAGCAAAAGGAGCTTCCTCAGAGCCCCATCTGCAATAGAGAATAGACTATTCAAGACGTACACTGGAAAGATGCAACACGTGCAAGCTTTCTACAGACAGTGCAGAACATAACATACAACATAGCACTACAGTCTCTCTCCAATTAGAAGAGGTCGAAAAAAAAAAAAGTGTGTGAACTAACAACAGAATGATGAGTCTGACCTTTGATTAGAGGGCAGCCAGAGCTCCCGTCACTACTCCCCACCGCCTTTTACTTGAGGGCCAGTAGCATACCCATCAAAGGCTACACTGACCTTTTCGCTAGGTCAGCCCAACA